ATTTGTGTGTTATTCGCTGTACCTGAATATTTAAATTACAAGAGTAGTTTTATTCATAAATTTCAGTTTGTCTTTCATGGCTGAATAATGCTCCAATACATAGTAGCATAGTCATAGGTTGAATCACACTCTCTCAACAACAATTTGACAAATTAGAAACAGGGATTGAGACAAAATTTACTTGTATTGTAATGAAACTATTGTATTTGCTCTATTAGTAGCACATGTGCTTATGTGATTGACAGATCTGTGTCTAGTCATTTTAATGATCCAGTGTACAATGTGTTATTTTTTCTCAGTTTGTGCAGCTTCTATTAGAGATGTGTTTCTAATAGAGTAAATACAGTACCCTAAATGGCAATTGACAACAACAATAATATTCCTGTTGTGAAAACCTACTTTTTGTTTAGTCTTAGTTGGGTAAATTACATGGTAAGAAAAACTATTCTATATTACACTCCCTTATAAATGTGTCCCAGGATGCAATATGTTTGTTACACTCATTGACCTCATATATCTAACATTATTACCAGTATCATCAATGGATTCAAGTGGCCATTATTACAACTGTTTTTATTTTCCACTTTGATATTTGATATTTATAATGTTTTGTGAAAGACTTTATTTTATTATAAGAGAACTGATTTTTTACAGGAACATTTAAGACAAGCAAATATTTATGATGGCATATGTCAGGAACATGTGTTTTACAGTTATTATACCTCAAATAAAATGATGTTGTCTCAAGCTATATATATGTACTACCGGTAGTATGTATTTGTTGTTAGCAGTAGATGTCAGTATATACTGGGTGTACATACGTATGTTTTTAGTGTTTATGTGGATATTTTGTGATTATCTGTTGAAACAGTTCTGCTGCCTTGGTGGATTTTGTAGTCAGTAGAGCATCTGATCTTGAATAATTTTGATATTAAATACATGTACTAATCCAGAAACAAATTCTTAAAGCGCTACAGTCATCGCTCAGCACGAGTTTGAATTCCATGTGCACAATGTATTTTCATGTGTTGTATACATGTACATCGCTTTGGAGTCTCATATCATTCGTGACGTGGCACAATAATTGTAACGCTTCATACAAATATTGGCTTTGCCTGGAAATCACAAAAATGTCAGGATTTCAATAGTCGAGACAAGGTTACTCAAAATCATGATAACATGCTATTTATCAACTTAGTCTGAATAGTGCTTTTGATCAAAAATAACAAAAATAGTAATCTGCAAACAAAAATTTTACATTATCACATCTTCCTAGAGTAAGTTGGAAACACTTAGGTAGTACCGTAGTACTTACACCAAAAATCTTGACATCGCAATCTTAATTAACAACTAGCAATTGATTGCCTCAAAACTTGCAACATTTTTTATTTATCGAAAAAAACTGTCAATAAACATGCTGCTTTCTGATTGGTCTAACGGCTAGTATTTGCATTAGGTAGGCAATCAGGCACAATTTTGTAAGTAGTTCAGGTTTAGCATTGACTGGCATTGTAGACAGTATGATTACTCATTTGCATAATAACAACCTAATTTACATAGGGTGGTTATTTTGAAACCTAACATAAAAATAACATCTAATATTTTTTTTGAAGATTGAGCATTGTAAAACTGTTATACTCAAAGATATCCGGAAGTACAATGATGGCTTAATGTAATGCTATTCAAAATTTGTTTCTACATTTTTGACAATTTGTTGTTCAATCATTTGCTTACAGTATCAAACAAATATCAAACAACTACGAATCTATTATTCTACAGTCTATAACAAGGTCACTTCTTTTGATTGAGATGGGAATTCAAATATAAAACGTTCCTATTTGCAAATGCAAAAATAGTGCTTATGGAAACAATGGCGTCCTCTAGTGGTCGTACTTAAAACCTTGCTCCTACTGTTTATTACTACATTCAGTGTTTGGTCCGAGAGAATTTGGAGAAGGGATTAGTAAGGGTGTTTGGTTAGATTTAGTGGGGGGTATCACTGGCAGACATAAACTGAATAAAATAACATATTTTTTTATCTGCACAATTGAGTTACAGCTCACTATATACTGAATGAAAAATGTTTCATTAAAATCTTAATAAGACCAATATTTTGCACGTAGCAGCTTGTACATTTTACAATCCAATGTTATAGCGCCCTATGCCGGAAATATTCGGAATCGGGCATATGGTTTTTAATTGTACGTCATATAAGATACACTGTTTTAATACAATTCCTGAAAAGTTGCATCTATAATTATGGTTCATTGGCATACCATCAAATCTCACACATTTGACATCCTGTGAAACCAGGAAATGAAGGAAACTCTGACATTGTCCCATGAATACTTCATTAGTATTTCAGGCACGTCGCTGCTGTCACTCATACTACAGCGTTATATACGACACCTTGAACTGCCACTTGTGTCGTGTATTTGACATGCATTATAGATTGTATTATTAATAAATGATGCATAATAGTGCCCAGGTGTGCTGTTTGCACCGCATGTCAATATAAGCCTGTACGATGTCGGCTACCGTACTGGAATACCTTGGGGAGACTGCGACGACATAGGCCATTTATAAATTCTTGAAGATTCAT